ATTGTTGCAAAATTATTTGTTTCTCTGTTAGGGTCAGACTGAGGCTATTGTTTATGCTGAGAGTTAGACATGGAGGGATCATGTGCTCAGTAGCCTTCAACAGGTGAGATGGAGGTGGAACTCAATCCTACAAGTGAAAAAGCCTGTGAAATTGTGGCGTTGGAAACTCCTTCGGAGGATGGTTTAGCAGAACCAGAAGATGAGGAGCGGACAGTCCCAGCTGCTGGCATGGTTTTTGACTCTGTCAACAGTGCGTTAGAGTTCTACAAGGGTTACAGGAAGCGGATGGGTTTTGGAGTTTCAATTAGAAACTCAACATTATCTCCAGATGTGACATACCAACGAGTGCGATTGGCTTGTACACGGGAAGGGTTTCCTAGGAGCAAGAACCCAAGGAAGGGTTCAATTTTTGCATCACAAAAAGCAGGGTGCAAAGCAAAAATGGCATGAGTACAGACACTGGACGGAGATGGGACTTATGTGGTAACACTGGTAACGCTAAAACACAGCCACGACCTCAGCCCCTCGAAGGGTCGTCACTTCCGCTGCAATAGAAGCATTTCATTAGGAGTGTGGAGAACATTGGAGATAAATAATAATGCTGGAATAAGGGTCTGCCATAACTATTTGTCTATTGTACAGGAATATGGTGGTTATGAAAACATGGGATTCAGTGAGAGAGATTGTAGGAACTATTTAGACCAACAAAGACGGCTTAGGATCGTTGAAGGTGATGGAGAAGCAGTTCGTAGGTACTTTGAAGTAATGAAATTCCAAAGTCCCAACTTTTATAGCATAATAGAAGTGGATTTTGAACGCCGTGTGACCAATTTGTTTTGGGCGAATGGAAGGACCCGAGCAACATACGAATATTTCAATGATGTTGTTGCCTTCGATACGACCTACCTCACGAATAGGTAAACATTTAAAGTTATTGAAATTAATTGAGGTCATGCAAAGAATATTTATACTGTTATGTAGTTATATGGACCTTTATTTAGATAGATTTGGGTAAAGGTTACAAATTAAAACAGGGAAAATCCATAAAGCTTATCCATGAGTAACCATGTTGCTAGGAATATCAATTAAAAGTAAAAAAGGTGTGGGAGCAAAGGTGAGGCTAATAAAACTGAAGCTGGAAGGAGTAGAAAATTGGGTCAATGAAGAAATAAAGGACCAAAGCCTATGGGAAAAGTAAAAAGTAGGCAACAAATATAGTGTACAAATAGAATGGTATCAAGATAGGCCACTTAGTGTCGAACTGGGCCTTTAGGCCCAATGGTTCGACCCCAAATCTTAAGTGCTTGGGTGAGGTGGTCGGAGTTTCGAACTCCACCATCGTCGTGAACTCCACCAAAAAGTGACCTGATGGCTGCGCACCTTATTTGAGGGGGTGGAATGTTCACTCGGTCTGAGGACCAGTTGCTAATAACTAACTCATACTAACTTCCTAACCATTACACTTGTAAAAAAAAAAAAAA